CTAGAATTATTATAATTTTGATTATGAAAAAATTGGTTACTGTCCTTTTCTGATGCCTCCATGCTTGTGGCAATCTCAACGGCTCTATCTAGGTCCAGTCCTTTTGATTCTAGAAGTCTAGCTTGTATTCTTTTCGATCGCAGGCCAAAAACAAATTGGTTTCTTATAGCACTTTTAAGATATGTAGAAAAATTGCAGTTAATTGACAACTTTTGTAGTGAATGAAGGTATTCTTGTATTGTTTCTCCTTCGGCTTGCCTTTTTGATTGGATTCTAAAGATTTCTGCAATTTCGAGGGGTGCAGGGTTGTAAAAATTATCCATTAAATTGACAATGTCGTCGTATGACTTGTCTTCAGGTACATCTGGGGCTAACTTGTCGCATAGGGTGTCGTAGGCCTCAGAACCCATGTAGTGTAGTAGATAAGGTAATCTCATTTCGTCTGGAATTTTAAATACCTTGTAAGCACCTTCCAGCCTCTTTACCCACCTGGACCATTTGGTGGCAGACTGGTTGAAAGATTCAACGGAAAATTGAAATGTAGATACTTATGTAGACATAATTGGGGCTGTAGTACCTGTAACTGTATTTGAAGTTGAGGTAGCAATCGTAGTAGTCGTAATAATCTCTTATGTATCCCATCCTCGTCGTCAATTGTTGTGTATTTAGTATTTCTTACTTAAATAAGGTAATAATTATTAATACAACGTGGTTTTACATCATTAACCTTTATTTCCCTTTAACTAACTAACTTCATTCCCTTGTGTCAGTGAGCGTTGTTGCCTACCTGTGTTGCCAAGTATATAACAAGAACAATTCCATATTTTAAGAAACATCGTAGAAAAACGTAGAGAATATCAGATCCTGACATTTATATGTTTTGTCGATTTACTATTGCCTTTGACAATTTTAAATGGGCCAAACTGTGAAACAACCCAACGACAAAGAGTATACCTGAAAACCCGAAACTTGACTCACCTTATTATTCAGCTATATTAAGATACATACAGCATCTGGCATACAGTCGAATACATGGATGCCTATAATTTATAATGCGCAAGGTTTTGGATGATTGGAAGCAAGAAGTAAATCTAGGCACTGTCAAGATATTTAACTTGCGTTTCGCAAGAAGAACTCACTCACTTACTAAAAAAACTCGAGGTAGAAAGTGCTAAGTTTGTCTCATGGTTAACAACAACACAGCCAAAATCATCGTTATTGACCGCTAACAACATTTTACTGGGACCTAAACTATCGCCGGATCTAAACTATCAAGGTAGTCTCTGAAATAGCCGCTTTTGAAATGTGGGCATAGTGACGATTATTTCGTATTCCATGGACGGCTCGAATATCTTATTATTTTAGATAAAACATAAACTCAATTACCATATTTCTAGTACAGTTTACTCTAGAGTTTAAAAGTTTTTTGGTAATTTCCATCGAAGTGATCACAAAATGGAGCGGTTTTTAGTCCAAGGAATTATTTAGTCACCGCCAACGTGGTAAGTCTCCAGAGCTATAGACAGATATTACAAAAAGGCTTTTGCACAAACAGTGTATTGAGATAGTACGTATAGCAGTTGATGCTATGAAGCCAAGCCAATGAAGAAAGATCATTAATCAAAATGTCCGAGCTTCTGAAGCTCAATGATGACCACAACATATCTGTCAAGATGTATGTTTAATAAAACTATATTCGAACGTTCTTCAACATCAGAGTTCTCATAAGCCCACGTTTTTCTATATATTCGTTATTCTTCTTTCTTAATTAGTAAAATTTAGAAGTTTACTTTTAAGTTTTCTTCTAGTCTTCTTTAGAAGAAGAATTCCAATAGCATAAGATTTTGTATTCGTAGCTACCATTATATTACTTCTCACCTACCTATCCACACAAGTGTATTTATTATAGTTTTTTATTCAATTTATTCCTTATAAATATTTTTTATATATGTGTGTACAGAATAGTTGATTAAATCAATTCTGAACGTTGAGACCAAGCTGAAATGATTTTAAATATTATAGAAATAGAACAATGTTCTATTGTAGTGTTTGTACTGTCATTGGTCACTCTGTATAATATTATCATATTTGGATTGTTTTATCAAAAATAGTTAAATATTTTTAGCCAATATTATTGTTTAATGATGTGATACTATCAATATTTAAAAATCGCCATAACACTTAACGTAAGGAGAATGTAATGAATTATTAACACGTTGGAGATAAGGTCAACGACAAATCATTTTAATTATCTACTACATTATGCTGCAGCGAATTTCAGATCAGTGTTTATAGGTATTATGCAATATATGCCTGATCACCATATTATATTTATTATACAAAGATATTATATATAGACAAACAACACAATTTATTAGGGTTGCAGTAAGAATATTGACCGGGGGATGTTAAAAAAACACTCTTTTGACTTTTTGTCTAGCTTTCGGAATGGTTTTATTCCTTTTTCAAGACACTGTAATAAGACAAATATGTAAATATTTAAAAAATATCACAATTCTTCAGTGTAACTTACTAGTCGTTGAGATTATTTATAAAAGCATTGACACTCAACATTGATAACACACATTAAAATATAAAATCATGGACAAAATACATTCTAAAATTTTTAAAATTTGGGTAAAGGTAGTAAAACTTAGTTTATGACATATTTTACTGGTGTGTTTTAACTCATATGCATAGAGAACAGAAAGTAAAAACACTGTAATTAACATGTAATTAGGTGAACTTGATATTATCTTTCTTTTCAAGAAACACTAGAGGCTCATCTTGGGTGATTATACTTTTTAAACCTGTCTTAATGGTATGCAACATATTATACATGCAGGTGTAATTTATGTACAGGTAAATATTTATTTTATTTTTGGCATTTTTTTAGTAAATGACAATAAATGTTGCTTAGTTTATCTATGTCAGACTTTTTATTGATGCAAAATATCCTAGATTTTATGAAACACATTTCCAAAAAACACGTTTTGAATGGTTCTTTTCGTTTGCTAAAATACAGAAATCCTCGAAATTGAATTCATGTTTCAGAGTTATTGCATGTTCTGTCAATGCACATGCATCGATTTTTTTGGTTTTTATATCACTACGATGTGATATCACCCTGCTGTGAAAATTACGAGATGATCCTCCTATCTAAATTTTATTACAATTAGTACATGGTATAGAATAAACAGCATTCGATGACTCCTGTCTTGTGAAAGTATCTTTTGTTTTCATGTATAACTTCGATACCTCTTTCACATTTTTGGTTGTAATTTTTAAGCCACTAACATTTTTAAAGATGTTCATTAACTTAGGTGTCAGAACTGGAATGTGGGGTAGGCAACCATAAGTTATTTTAGATGGTAATATTGATGTGTTATGTGTCAATGTCAATTGTCGGATCTCATTATTATGAAAATTTTGGTTAACAGAAACTTGCGAAGGAAAAGGAGAACCGAAAATGAGTTTATTTAAAAGCCCTATGGGATAGAAATCTAGTATAGATCTTAACTTTTTTAGTCCCTTGTCCCTGAATTCGATGTGTGACAAGTTGGTAACCCTAGTTTTTAGAGAAAAACCCAAATTTTTTTTCATCTTAGATGGATGTTGAGAATAAAAGTTTATGAAACGGTTACTAAAACAAGGTTTACGATACCACTCCGTCCTTAGCATGCCATCATTGCCACGATGGATTAGCATGTCCAAAAAAGGAATCATATTATCAGCCTCTCTCTCAACCGTAAACTTTAGGTATTCACATTGGGCGTTAAAAGTGTTTAAAACATCAGTTAACTTGTTTTCAGGGACCGATAAAATCAAATCATCTACATAACGTTTAATAAAAGGTATGTGAAAAGGTGTCTTTTCTTTTCAACGTGTAAAGTGGAGAATCATCTCGTAATTTTTACAGCAGGGTGATATCACATCGTAGTGATATAAAAACCAAAAAAATCAATGCATGTGCATTGACAGAACATGCATTAACTCTGAAACATGAATTTAATTTTGAGGATTCCTGTATTTTAGCAAAGGAAAAGATTCAAAACGTGTTTTTTTGGAAATGTGTTTCATAAAATCTAGCAGAGCTTGCATCAATAAAAAGTCTAACATAGATAAACTAAGCAACATTTATTATTTACTAGAAAACACCAAAAATAAAATAAATATTTACCTGTACATAAATTACAACTGTATGTATAATATGTTGCATACCATTAAGACAGGTTTAAAAAGTATAATCACCCAAGATGGGCCTCTAGTATCTCTTGAAAAGAAAGATAATATCAAGTACACCTAATTACATGTTAATTACAGTGTTTTTACTTTGTGTTCTCTATGCATATGAGTTAAAACACACCAGTAAAATATGTCATAAACTAAGTTTTACTATCTTTACCCAAATTTTATAAATTTTAGAATGTATTTTGTCCATGATTTTATATTTTAATGTGTGTTATCAATGTTGAGTGTCAATGCTCATTCGTAATAGAACAAAAGTAAAAGATTCGAACGTATTAAGGATTGGCGATGTCCCTCTTTACCAGTGGATTACTGGCAGCATCTGTGTACCTTATTTTTTTCCGGGATTGGGACTTCCAGTGATAGCAATCCAGCAGCCTCCTGAACTGCTCGATCCACACAGTTAGCTACACCACTATCCCCGGCGGAGTTTAATGTTCAGTACCTATTAAGCGTGTCCCCAATCAGTTCAGTAAACTACAAATAAAAAATTACAAGCAATCAGTTTATTTCAATAATTCTCATATTTTTATTTACATATTCACGTGAAAAATTATTTACGTAATAAACAATGCTTGAGTCAAATAACTTGTAATAACACATACTTAGATATGTTGGAAAAGTTAGAGAATGATGTTTTTCAAAGTATAAAAAATTTTAAGTTTCCAATTCATGTCCCTGAAAGTATCGCTTCCAGGAACATGTGTAAACAATACAAACAGGGGCAAAATCTTATTTATAACCTTTTTCAGGGTCAGACGAAGATTGCGTTCACGGTGAAAATCGATACAGCGGATACTCCGGCGAAGGGGACACGAGGTAGGATTTAAATTTTTTCTCTAGCAGTTATGTAACAAGATTTCAGTAATAAGACTTTAAATTGAACGAATTTAAAAATATAAATCACTCTCTATATTTCAGGGTTCGGATACTATTGTTTCATTTATAAAATAACTACAACATGAAACTTCAGATTTATATATGTAAAATTTTATCAGATAATTTTAAATTCATATTTATCTATATAGGTACATATTATATCGTTTGGAATTTATCTTTTTATTCTTTTATTATATTTAAATGTCTAACGATTTTTTAATTTTTAATTTAATAGAATAGAAGAATAGAATATTCTTTATTAATCCCATCAGATCACAGTGTGATATTGGACAAGTCATATAGTACATAAAGCATGATCAACAAGTTATATAGGACAATTACATAAAACAAAATCAATAAAATATAGATTAATATAAAAATAAAAAACAAATAAAATTAAAACAAATAAAAATAAAAATAAAATTTAGATCCTGCAAAATCAGGACTAGTTTCAAAGAGAGTTGTGGAGTGTTTACACACGCTTATCAACCTCCCGTGTCTTGTCGGGTAATTATGAAAGTCAGAGTTGAGGGTAAAATTTTGAAATTTAGTTTTGACGTGAATAATACACTTATAAATATATAAAGCATGAAAAGTCAACAGCCTGTGTTCAATAAAATATTTACGACATGATTGTCTATTATTAATATTGAATATCAATCTAAGAATTCTCTTTTGAGTTTATAAAAACTCTAGAAGAGTTTCTAGAGTTTCCCCACAAGATAACATTATAGGCCATATATGAATAAACCAATGCATAATACACACTTATCAATTGATTGGTATTAAATAGAGTTTTCAACTGAAGGATCGCATAGTAACCCTTATTCATTGTTTTGCAGACTTTAGTGACATTTTCATCCCATGTCATATTACTTTCTAGAATGCTACCAAGAAATAATGTTGTATCACTAAAAGGTATTTCCTCAGAACTAACTGTGATTTTATTACCATGGGATGGCTTAAAGCGCGAGTAGAACTGCATACAAATAGTTTTCTTTGCATTTACCATTAAAGAGTTTCTTTTACACCAGGTTGTAAATTCCTGTGCTACTAAGTTCATTTTTGATATGAGTTCGACTTCATTTGACTCGTCAACTACAATTGTTGAATCATCTGCTTAAAGAACTATATGGTCTGCGTGTCAAATCAATGACATATAAAAGAAATATTAGTGGTCCCAATACGGAGCCTTGCGGTACACCTCGATCAAGATTAAAAACAGATGACTTCTTATTATCGACTTTTACTAGGAATTTACGATGTTGTAAGTATGACCTTAACCAGTTCAAGAAATAACCCCGAAAACCAAGGGCTTCTAATTTATGCAGTATAATTTCAATGTCAATAGAGTCAAAAGCCTCAGTTAAGTCAAAAAAGAGTGCACCCACATACCTTTTTCGATCCAAAGCAGCGTGGATATAATTAAATAATGAAATAGAAGCACTCTCTGTAGATTTATCAGGAAGAAACCCATGCTGGCATTTATTTAAGATATCATATTTATTCAGAAAATTTAACATTTTACTATAAATACACTTTTCGATAATCTTAGAGAGTACACTTGTTACTGTGATTGGCCTGTAATTATCAACCAAACATGGATCTCCCTTTTTGAAAATTGGACTGACTACTCCCGTTTTAAGGTTACTTGGAAACTTGCCATCCTTAACAGATAGGTTGATGATGTGAGACAAAACAGGAGATATATATGAAGAAATGTATTTAATTATTTTAGTAGGGATTTGATCAATACCTACTGAGCTGGTATAGTTTAAGGAAGATATAGCATTCTCAATATCAAATGGTGAGACTTCAGAAAAAAAGAATGTGTTGTTAATTGTCATAGTTGTGAAATCGTTAAAGGTATAGTTATTGAAATGTTTTAATAATGTGTGTTTGATTGATGTACAAAAATACTCACCAAATTTGTTTGCTATGTGTTCTGGATGTATCAATAATTTATTATTATCAGTAATGCTCCACTCAAAATTGTTTTTATTTTTACCAATTTGACGATTCACAGTTTTCCATATCTCCTTCCTTCTTTTATTATTATTTTGATTATGTAAATAACTTTGATATGATGCTTTTTTTATATCCTTTACCTTACGAATAAAGTTGGCCTTTTGTATTTTATAGTTATACATTAAATCTGAATTACCACTGACATTTGCTAGCCAAAATAAATCTTTCAGCTTTTATGAATGTCAGCTAATATGAATGTCATCTTTACAGTGAAATTTAATTTATCATGATGGTTGTTTACATCATCATATTTGGCTCGACAATCCTCTGTGGATTCTAGCCAGCTCTAAGATTCGTCGCTATTCTGTTCGGTTTCTGGCAACGTGTTGCCATCTTCTGATCTCTAGTATCCCTAAGTCGGTCTTAACTCCATCTATCCACCTAATTTACCGCCGGTCCCTGCTTCGTTTTCCTATAGCTATTGCTGTCGTTAGCTTGTTAGCAATCATATTGCCAGGCATTCGTATTATATGTCCAACCCATCCAAGGCACTCTATTTGAATGAAGGTTACATTTGGTTCAATAAAGAGTTGGTATAATTCGAAATTATATATTTGGCGCCACTGGTATTGATCATTTATAGCTCCAAATATTTGACGGAGTAGCTTACGCTCAAATATTCCCAGAAGTATTTCATCTTTCTGCGTTATAGTCCATGTTTCCGCTCCATATGTGAGAACTGACCTCAACAGAGTTTTGTATATGATAACTTTAGTTTTTATTTGGATATTTCTTGAGTAGAATTGTTTTTGGGGTACACAGTATGTACTATTTGTAAGGTTTATTCGTCTTTTAATTTCTTCATTTGTTTTGTTGGTAATAATCACTAGCAATCCAACGTATGTAAAGCTGTCAACACACTCAAAGATATCGGTTCCAAAGACTCTCTTCCGTTCCTCATTTGCTATCGGGTCCTTAGTAACCAATATGTACTTGGTTTTGTATTCGTTGATGACTAAACGGACCTGTTTCGCCGCTGTTTCCAATTCTATTCAATTTCGTCTTGTCTGAGTCCATCCTTTATCTCAAATGATCGAAAAAAATTTTATGTATCCTAACGCTGGTGATGGTGGATGGGGAGGTTGGAGGTTGAAGGCAAGATAGATGGTAAAAGAACTCGATTAAGATCGACACTCCGATGCTCAGACCAAATAAAGTGTACTACCGGTTACTCTCTGTCTGAAGCAGCACACCACGCCCAGGAGAGAGAAGAATGAATAGAAACCATTCATCAAATACCATAAGGTCACCACATCCTTACGAAGGATAAAGGATAGAGAAGGAGAAGGAGGATCCTAACGCTGGCTTTTAAGTTAGACATTGTCATTCTCGTTAATCGGATAAGTTTTTCTGGTATACCAAATTTACGCATTGATTGGCATAGTACTGTTCTCTTGACACTATCATATGGGGCCTTGAAGTCGACGACTAAGTGATTGTTTTCAATATTAGGTCCTAATGTTTTCTCTAGGTTTTGTCTTATTAAGTGAATCTGGTCAGTTATTGATTTTTTTTAGTAAGTCCGGTCTGGTATTTACCAAATATGCTAACTGTGTAAAGCTGTAGCCTTTAGTAGATAATATTTGCTTGTATTTTGTAAGCTGTTGTACACAGGGTTATATCTTTGTAGTTGTCACACTGGAGGTGATCGCCTTTTTTTTGTAAAGGGCATATCACGCCTTGAGACCATTCACAGGACCTGATCTCATTTTGCCAGACAAGAAGTAAACGTGTATGCAGTGCTTGTTGCAGGGCGTTGCCACCATTATTGTAGAGCTCGTTAAAAATTTGGTCAGTTCCTGGTTATTTATCATTTTTAAGCTTTTTAATGTCTTGGGCAACCTGTTCAGTGGTAGGTGGTCTTACGTTTGGGTTGAATGGATTCCAATCATTTCGATCTGCTACGGTGTTATCTGTTTCGTCCATCTGATGGCCATTAAATTTTGTATCAATATATTCAACCCTTCGGTTCAAAATTGAGCTTCACTTAGGATATTTCCTTCTCTATTCTTACAGCTCCCTAAACTCTTTACTCACTTTGTTTACATTGCTGTAGAACTTTCGAGTTTCGTTTTGATTTCTTAGCCATTCTATGTTTTCTAACAGCTTTTCTTTATATTCCCTTTTGTTTCTTCTATGTAATATTTTTTGTTCCCTTCTTAGGGCTTGGTATTCCTCCTTTGCTCTTTTTGTGCCTCTAGCTTGATTTGTCTTTCGGTATGCTCCATTTTTGTTATCTGTTGCTTCTTGGCACTCCTCGTCAAACCATTCGTTTTGTTTAACTGGTTTAGTTGTTCCCAATATTTCCGATACTTTTTCAGTTATTGCGTTTCTACATTTCGCCCATAATTCCTCCATATTTCTCCATGCTTCCAAGCTCTCTATTTCCTCATCTATTTGTCTCCTATACTCTCGCGCAACGGTTTCAATGGGTAGATTATTAACATTAATTATGTCTGTGTTATATGTTTATCCTTCTTTAGGTTTGATATTCTTCCTCTGATTTTTGCCATTACAAGAAAGTGGTCATTATCCATGTTTGCATCTCTGTAGTTTCTGACATCCATGAGGTCAAAACAATGGATTGCATCTATTAGGATGTGATCTGTCTGGTTAACGGTTTTGTTGTCAGGTGATTTCCATGTTCCTTTGTGTATTATTTTATGGGCAAATCTTGTTCGTCCTACTATCATGTTTTTGGTGCTTGCAAAGTTTATTAGTCTCAACCCGTTATCATTTGACTCTTCGTATAAGCTCAGCCATTCACAGAAAATGTGAATGGCTGAGCCACACTCTCCGGAAGATGACATTGCCGGGACAGCGCTGGATTGGAATCCTCAAGGTCAACGGAAAGTAGGCAGAGTTAAGAAAACTTGAAAAAAGGCAGTACTGGATGAAGGGAAAGAAATAGAAAAATCCTGGCTTAAAATAAAAGCACTGGCCAGAAAAAGAGTTCTCTAGACACACTTCGTGAAAACCCTATGAACCTTGAGGGTAGATAATTGGAGGAGAGCAGCTAAGGAAAGGGTTGTTTGGAGGCGGATTCTGGAGGAGGTACGGTTCCACTTGGGCTGTAGCGCCATAGGAGAGAGAGGCCTTGGATGTTTAGAAGAATAAGTTTAGTTCCATAAAATTGAGTAGTTATCCAGGCCATTGTAATAACCAACATACATAAAAGGTACACAGGAGGAAAAAGCCTTGGAGAATATCAACTGTTCGTATGCTCTACTGTTGGTAAAATTAGAAAATTAGAAAATAAAACTAATATTATATCAAAGAGTAAAATTATTGCTTAATAAAATGAACTGCAATCAAGTAACGGTCGAATCCATCATATAATATTATATATTGCTGAAAAATTTTCTACCAAGGAAAGTGCGGTAAGTTAAGCGTGAGAAGAAAATAAATATTCTAGCTAAGGAAATGGCATATTATTGCAATTATAACTTGGAACTCTTCCAAGCAGCAACAACATCTGTATTTTAATAAAAATATACAGGGTGTTTCAAAAAAAGGTAACCCCGTTTCTAGGGTAGGTAAAAAACTGAAAAATAATTGGGGTTTGCTTATAAAAAATTTTTGTAACGCCATCCGTTTTCAAGATACAGGGCGTTGAAGAAAAAAAATTTTACGCATTTTTTACGATTTTGCCGAAACTACTGGCAACATTGTAATGACATTTTATACGAATATGTTTTGGAAGCTGATACATCCCATGAATTTGTTTTTATATCTGATTCTCATAGAGGGCGCTAGTTACACGGATCGTACTAAATATTAGTCAATATAACTTTTTTAAGAGTGTAATTATTAATCAAAATTTCAAGTAAACTTAAACATCATTCAATTTTACACGAAAAAGGTACTCTTGGTAAAACTCGATACTGTGTACCGTTTTTGGAATATTTTGATTTGAAAATTCTGAAGTAATAATTGATGCTGAAAGTTCTAATAGGTATACCTCTATTTTCTCCAAGTGTGCCATGGAAATCTGACATTTATTGATTGTTATGACGATAAATCAACAATAATTAGAGTTTTGCAACCTTGTTATTTGTAAAATCAAATCAAAATGTACTCAAATGTTGAATACACTGACATGTTATTAACCTTAGGCGAATGTTTAGGATGTTCTAGTGCAGCTGTGACACGTTATGCAGAAAAGTTTCCTAGAAGAAACTTACCAAGTAAAAAAACATTTAGAGCCGTTGAACGACGTTGTCGAGAAACTGGGAATGTGAGACCAAATAAAATAAATTCTGGTAGACCAAGAACAACAAGAACAATTAATAAAGAAAATAATATTTTAAATTTACTTGATCAAGATCCAACAGTTAGCGTAAGGAATATAGCAAGACAAACAAATACTTCTTCTTCAAGTACTTGGCGGATACTGAAAGAACAGCAATTACATCCTTATCATTACAGACAAGTCCAAGAGCTCTTGCCAGATGATCTACCGGTTAGAGTGGATTTTTGTGAAACATTGCAACAAAGGACAGCCCACAATCCAAATTTTTTAAAATGCATTCTTTTTACGGACGAGGCCACCTTTACGCGACAAGTATGTTTAACTCCCATAATGCACACTACTGGTGTGATGAGAATCCACGAGTCAAAAGGGTATCACATTACCAACACTCATTTAAAGTTAATGTTTCGGCAGCAACTTTAGGTAACAAATTAATAGGTTATCATATTCTACCTGGAAATTTAAATGGTGATATGTATCTTGATTTTTTAAACAATTCCTTATTCGAGATATTAGAAGATTTAACGCTAAACGAGCGAAGATCTTTATTTTTTATGCACGATGGAGCTCCACCACACTTTGATAGAAGGTGTCGTAATTGGTTGAGTAATCATTTTCCGAATCGATGGATTGGTAGAGGTGCAGAAGCTCCGATTCATTGGCCTCCTCGGTCATGCGATTTTAACCCTTTGGACTACGCAGTTTGGTCGTATATTAAGGAAAAAGTCTATGCTACAGAGGTAAATTCACGCCAAGAATTGGAAGAAAGAATTCAACGTCAATTTAATGACATCATAGCTGATCCCCTACCGTTTAGAAGGTTAATGGAATCTTTAGAAAAAAGAATAGACTTGTGTATTCGCGAAAACGGAGGGCATTTTGAACACTTACTGTAATTGAATTTTATTTTATGTTCTTAGTCATTAATTTAATTTTCTTCTTGTGAGTTTTGTTTAATTACTAACTATTTTATACCAGCATCAATTATTACTTCATAATTTTCAAATCAAAATATTCCGAAAACGGTACACAGTATCGAGTTTTACCAAGAGTACCTTTTTCGTGTAAAATTGAATGATGTTTAAGTTTACTTGAAATTTTGATTAATAATTATACTCTTAAAAAAGTTATATTGACTAATACTTAGTACGATCCGTGTAACTAGCGCCCTCTATGAGAATCAGATATAAAAACAAATTCATGGGATGTATCAGCTTCCAAAACATATTCGTATAAAATTTCATTACAATGTTGCCAGTAGTTTCGGCAAAATCGTAAAAAATGCGTAAATTTTTTTTCTTCAACGCCCTGTATCTTGAAAACGGATGGCGTTACAAAAATTTTTTACTAAGCAAACCCCAATTATTTTTCAGTTTTTTACCTACCCTAGAGACGGGGTTACCATTTTGAAACACCCTGTATATACCATATGAATAGAATGAAAATTTAATCAATACTATTTCAGCTTTAAAAGTTGTAGAAAATCAAGAGTATCTTTTCGTCTTTGCTATTTATTATAGTTATATGGAACCCATCCATATAACTATCACAATTTTATATTTCTTAAAAAAACTATTTAAAACTTTGTAATAAAACATATCATTTTGATTGGTGATACAAGGATAATCTTTTTTTTTTGTTGTTTCAATTTATCCATAGGTTAGTTTTCATCGGAACAGGTAGAATGCAAACCCCGCAATTAATTAAAGAAATGCCACTGGTGGATTCAGCGAAAAATGAATTTTCTTCTAGACACAGTCTCGAATGGAAGTTTCTTTTTTTAGATCATCGAGCTCCTCCCATCATAGGCTACCTACCTTTTGAACTATTGGGTACTTCAGGTAATTATTATTCCATCTGAACATAAAAAATAGCTAATGATGCTTATTATCATATTTATATTTATCATATACAGTGTGTAAAAGCCAAATGGAATAAATTCATTATTTAGGTTACTGTACATATTTATAAAAAATCCCGAAACACGTCAAATTTAAATTATAACTTGACATTCTTTAACGTGAAAATGCAACCCCTACCTTCAAACCCCTTAGAATGACAGGTATAACCCCCAATTTTTAAAATAGGAAGTATAGGCTTGTGATATATCGTTTGAAAGGTCTTTTCATTCTCCATTCAAAAATGTTGTCGCTTTCAAGTTTATTAAGATTAATTAAGATAAAATAAATTAAAATCATGTGGTTACCGAAATTCGCTACAATACAATCAAAAACTAAAATGTAATGCAAAACGTAATAAAATGTAGAACACGAAAAAGAACTATGAATGTTAATGAAGTAGATGTTCAAAATGTTCACCGCGAACGTCTTGGCAACATCCTAATCTCAAATAAAACTGTCTTCTAATATTATTTAACATAACAGGCGTGATCGACCTAATCGCAAGCGTTATTCGTTCTTTTAAGTCATTTAAATCAGAAGGTTTAGTTTTGTACACATGGCTCTTCACATATCCCCATAAATAGAAATCTAATAATGTAAGATCAGGTGATCGCGCTGGCCATTCAATCGATCCTCACCTCCCTATCCACCGATTGGGAAATATTGTATCGAGGTACTGCCGGACATTAAGTTGGTAATGTGGTGGTGCTCCATCCTGCTGAAACCATATCGTATTCGCTGGAACTTGAGGGTTTCCTGGATCAGAATATAAATTTGCCAACGTTGGAATGACATCATTTTGAAGTAGTGCCAAATAATTGTTGCCATTCAAGTTGCCCTCAATGAAAAGGGGACCAATGATATTGTTTCCTACAATCCCTGCCCAAACATTAACCTTTTGAGGGTATTGAGTGTGTTCTTCTCTCATCCAGTGAGGATTTTCCGTGGCCCAGTAGCGGCAATTTTGCCGATTAGCATGACCGTTAAGTGAAAAAGTACACTCATCAGAAAACATAACGTCTTCTAATTGGATAATATTGTTATCCAACATGTCCATCATTTGCTCACAAAAAAAAGTTCTCCTATCAAAATCGTCTTCCATGAGCTCCTGAGTAGGTATCATCTTATAAGGATGCAATTTATTTTCTTTTAATATGTTTACTATCGATGTATGGCTAGCATTGAATGTAGTGGATGCCTGTCTACTCGTTGTATGTGGATTTTCCTGAAACTCAAGCAACACTTCTAATTTGAGTTCATCACTCAGTGCATTGGCAGCTGCTTTTTTTATCTGCCTGACATGACCAAACTCGCGAAACTGCTTCTCTATTTTACTTATTGTTCCTTGGGATATAGGCGGTAAATTAGGAAATTTCTCATGAAATAGGCGAGTTACTTCCTGTTGTGTTCGGGTGTTATCTCCGTAACCAATCATTTGTAAAACTGTTATTTTATGCATGTCCTATCTAACCATTTTTCAGAATTGAATTGAACGAACTTTTTACTTAAATTAAAATACTGACAACTTAAATAAAACAATTTACTAATGCGTGTTAAAATAACGTTGCCACGGAAATTTTTTTAAAGTTTTTTATTGGTTACCATCTAAAAACCACACTGCTATGGTTTTTGTTCACTTTCTCATTATTAAGACCTAAAGGGGAAATAAGTTTTGAGTATATTTTAGCGAATTTCGGTAGCCACATGATTTTAATTTATTTTATCTTAATTAATCTTAATAAACTTGAAAGCGACAACATTTTTGAATGGAGAATAAAAAGACCTTTCAAACGATATATCACAAGCCTATACTTCCTATTTTGAAAATTGGGGGTTGTACCTGTCATTCTAAGGGATTTGAAGGTAGGGGTTGCATTTAACCGGTTTATTAATAACCTCTGCCTTGGTATAAAACTAAGAATGCAGCGATGTTACGTTTCTACACTCTAATAATCCTACGTGGTTGATGCGTCATGTAAAGATAAGAAAACGCAACTACTAACAGGACATAGAGATATGAATAAACACACTGTGAACACTGCAACGATACAGAGGACCAATAACATATAATAGAAGACGATACAATAAAACAAAGGCAAACACCACGACAAAGGATACTAATATAAGACGATACTAACACAGACACAAATGACCTACCCACCAACAGACATCAAGACAATTTAGATCAAATACTGAACGACGACGACGACGACACATCGACGGAAGGCAAAAACATCATAAATCTCATTTAAATTTAAGTAGTGATAGAGGATTACAGTAAAATTTAATTTTAAGTGGTAGTGATATTTTTGGTGTACCTGATATGGTGACCATGTCCTAAAATATAAGACAAAAATATGTTAAAGACAAGAAAGGTTCAATTTTATGGACTTCATGCTCAATACATAAATCATTCTCTAGAAAATAATTAATATTAGCTCAAAGGTTAAAGACTAGGTAAAATGTGATGTTTAACACAAGAAAAAACTAAAGGAGGTAAGAACCAAGCATCTTCATGTGTCTGGATACCATATGATCAGATGTCATGATCCATAAGATATTCCTAATTTCATTTATGATGTTGATTTGTCCTGATCGATGTATTAAGTGACTCAGGCTTTCTTATAGTCGATAATGTCCCAATATATTCACAGATAGTCAAGTGGGACTTCTAATAGCCCCTTGGGCTAGTGTGTCGGGAATACCGATAAGAACTCGATAGACTTACGGAATATAACATTATCGGACAATACATGGCAATGATAGAGTTGATGGACTTAAACAAAGAGGATCAGCTATAAAATACCTCGATTGTAAAGATAAAAAGGTACGCAAAAGAATAATAACAAAAAGTTTGATATAAGAAGACTAAAAGATAATGGTAGAAAGAAGATAGTTGCACGGATTCCTTCAGAAAAGCTAAGTAATATGAACCAAACATATGACCCAGAAGAATCACTCCAGAATATATGTGAAACCTTTAACAAGATCAGAGAAGAACATCTAATAGAAAATAAAGAGAAGACGACAAGTTGAATAAATGACAATATACTGCAACTCATGGAAAAAAGAAGAAAATCAAAGAATAACAAAAGAATGTACAAAAATATTCAGAGACAAATAAGAACCGAAATACGAAAGATCAGAGAAAATTAGTTAACAACACAGTGTGAAGAGATAGAGTTGTTGGAACAAAAACACGATACATGAAAAAAACAAGCAGCTGGTCTTCAAAAATGCAGCTAGTAAACTGCAAGATCAACAGGGGAACATCATCACAAATAAAAATCAAGAAATATGAATATGAGCCAAATACATACAAGAATTCTTTGATGATAATAGGTACAAACAACCTCCGTCCTACATATGTAATATCCAATTACCAATCACATCAGATGAAGTGGAAAAAGCAATATATCTTGGTACGAACGTCAATGAACATTGGGATCATTCTCTAATAATAAAATCTAGGTTAGAGACTGGAATATCTGCATTTCACAAAATGGCTAAGCAATTCAAATGCCACGATTTATCAGTACCCATAAAAATCAGGTTACTATGGTGTTATATCTTTCCTATACTGTTGTACGGAGTTGAGTCGTGGACTCTCACAGACGCTACCTGCAAGAAAATTAAGGCTTTCGAAATGTAGCTTTATCGTAGATTACTGAAGATATCCTATACCAACCACGTTACTAACCAGAACATTTTATTAAAAATGAAAAAAGGAAAAAAGTTGTTAACCACAATCAAAACAGCCAAAATTGAATACCTCAGTCACATCATGAGGAACAGTGAAAGATGTAGGTTGCTGCAATTAATTCTTCAAGGAAAAGTAGAAGGAAAACGTGGACCAGGACGGCGAAAGATTTCTTGTCTGTAAAATCTGCGTACGTGATTCAACACAACAACCACAAATCTTTTCAGAGCCGCAGTTTGTAAAATATAGATTGCCATGATAATGAAAAAAGCAGAAATCGTATTATCATAACAGGCTTTATTACTGGACAAAGTAGAATTTTCTTCCAGAAAAGAGAGTCCTGCACACTACACAATATTTACTGGATACCTCACTGTTTCTTTACTCTGTTGTTGTAGAGGATACTGTTGAAGATACTGAAGAAGTGACTTAATCGCCCCTATTTTCCGAAAAATTCCCCAAACCGGGACCGCTGTTACTGAAGAAGTGACTTAATCATCCCTATTTTCCGAAAATTCCCCAAACCGGGACCGCTGTTACTCAAGAAGTGACTTAATCATCCCTATTTTCCGAAAATTCCCCAAACCGGGACCGCTGTCACCAAATGTAATACCAAATACCAAATTTAATATACTGGGGCTCCGCTGTCACCACTGTACATTTAGCGGGAGGTTATATCCCCTATTGTAACATCTGGAACTAGAGGGTAAGAAAATCTTCACCACTGTACAACGCTGTTACCACTGTAATATACTGGTAATGAACCTTCTTTTCCACATTCGAAGCATTCCCGTCCCGTTTTCTTAGCTAGATTGGCTCTTTACCAGCATTCCTCTCTGAAGTGTACCTTTTTCCCACATTTGTAACATTTGACTTCCGGTGAAGATTGTTCCCTTTTCTTCGTCCTTTGACTGATCATTTTCCTGTTGTGTATCTTCATTGACTTGGTGTACTGTTTCTTCCTGATTGCGTTGTGCTGTTTCGCCTTTGTTTAGAGGGTTTTCCAATGTGTCTAGCCTTTTTCTCCTATCGTCCGTATCTTGTTTTATGGCGTTCATTCATCCTTGCTTCGTTCTTTTGTTTGTCGGGGTAAATATTCTCGTTTTTTCTGTACTTTCTTGGTACTCTTGGCGATTGGGATTTCTTTTGTGTCTCACCTTGCTTTTTGGTTCGCTCTTCCTTGATGTATCTTTTCTGTTTGCGTTAGGTAAGATTTTCCTGTCTTCTTTTATATGGTTTATATGTACTTTTCAAGAAAGACTTTTACTATTGATAATCATTTGTTCCATTCTTGTCTTGTGGTTTTGTAGCTGTTGTCGTATGCCTTTACCGTCATTACTTCCATTATTTCTCCTGCTGTTATCATTGGGATTGATTGTCCCCATAATATTAGTGAAGGTTCGTCTTTATATGAGATGATTGCTTTGTGGTTTGCTAAAAAGTCTCTACCTAACATCATTGATACCTCGCCTAGCGTTATGTCGCTACAGACTATGAATCTGGCTTTTGTTTTCCTGCTTTTGGGTGTTGTCTGTATATCCACATATGCTGTTCCGTATATATCTATCTCATGTCCTGTTATCCCTCGTAGCGATAGTGATTCCGTGATTTCTGGGTTTATATCTTCATCTTGTATTAGTGATTTCCTTATCAATGAGAAAGCGCCGGTCGTGTCTATCATGGCGGAAAGTTTTCTTCCACTAATTGTAAGTGTTATTACATAGGGTTGTTTTGTTTCTGTGTCGTCCTCGATGTGGTCTATTTTGTGTGTGCCCCTCGTACTTCTTCCATTTAGACCACTTGCTGGGGGCTTTTTAGTGGCCATGGTTAGTTTAAATTCTGATTGCGGTTTCTGCTATGTTGGCTTTCTCTTGTTTCATATTCCCTTCTATCCTCGTGCCTGTTTCTGTTGCTGTTCCATCTGTTTGTATCCCTTCCTTGCGGATTGTCTCGTTGCTTGCTTGTGTAATTATTCTTTTCATATTTTTGCGTGTATGTTTTTGTTTCTTGCCTGTTTCTTGGCTGAGTGTCGTTAGATTGGCCTCTCCTTCTATTAAGTAAGCAATCTCTTGCCTAGTGACCTTCTGTTTTTCTGGAAATCGGATTTCTTTCAGTACCCGACACTTATAAGGAACTATACCCCGTCGAAATATAACAATCGCGCCTGCCTATTACTGATCGCGTACTGGACGCTATCGCGTCCGACCCGGAGCCGGCGATCACTGCCTGAGCGGGCAGTCACGGTGCCCAGCTATCACTGACTGCCTCGCTATTACTGACTGCTCCGACTCCTCTGTTCTTCTTGTTTTTATTAAGCTCGTATTTTCAATGCCGGTTATAGTGCCAAGGTCGTGTTTTCGCTGAGTTGTAAGTCCTATGATTTATTTGGGTCACGAGCGGTGTTATTTTTACAACAATAGTTTTTGTTTGACGTGCTATTTCTACGTTTAAACAATTATAAAACAATGCACTAACTAGGTCAATTTGTTTGTGTAATTTAAAATGTATACTTTACTGTATTAATTATCCCTTATTTGATTTGGAACATATAATAATTATCAAATGATCATGATTCTCCCCTATGTTACTAACCCCCATTTTAATGTTCTACTCTCTTGCTATGTTTACATTACAATGCACTAGTAAATGAGCACCTTCATACAACAAGGCTGATTCATGTAGACTTGTGGGCTTGTAGACCTGCAGGTCTGGGGTAGATACTTGAAATAGTTTGCATGATTACAAGGCACTAGATGGTACCTGGCAAACACTCTTTAGGAATTACCAAGTGATTTAATACTGCAAATACTAGAACTGAACTCGTTTGTTCATCAGAGACGGCTTACGGAAAAAAAGCCACTTCCAAATTTTAGTTTCTTCTTTTTTTTATTAACTTGGTAAATGGTTTGAAGATTAATAATTATTTTACGGCTCCTCTTTAGTTGTAATCAATACCATTCTTTGTTTCAGTAAAATCTACAATCTTTGTTTATTGTATTTGTTGCTATTATCATCTTACATATACATTCAGAATTTTTGAATATAAATTTATTTTTATAGTTAGTTATTTTCTGGTTTAAGGTTATGATTACTACCACGTGGACGACTTGGAAAAGGTAGTATTGTGTCACGAGTCTCTCATGCAAAAGGGTGAAGGTACTTCGTGCTACTACAGGTTTTTAACGAAGAGCCAGCAATGGATTTGGCTGCAAACAAGGTTCTACATCACCTATCATCAGTGGAACTCCAAACCTGAATTTATTGTTTGCACCCATAGAGTAGTAAGGTAATTTTTTTAATATAAGTATAAATATCCTGCGTTTGAACTAATGCAAGAATTTGGTATAAATTATATTATTTTTGTGTTTAATTTATATTTGTAAATGTTTTTTCACTGGATCCCTTTGCTGAAAACCTAGTGAATCTTTATTATTTAGTATACGCTGTTCAGAAATGTAAAATAATGAGAATTATTTAAATTTGCCGCGCATTTGTAGACGGGGTCTTAGCTGTATTGGCGGTTGACACTTCATGTCTTGCCGAAAAAGAGAAGAATCGTCACCCGCCAGCCGAGAGTGACAGTCGGTCGAATATATAGGTTGAGGTTAACAGATGGCATGTCGATATTAATTTTGTTATAAGAGTTTGGATAATAAATTTGGTATCTGTGCACATATCCTTTAATTTTTACTAGAGATACAGTCCACTAGCGAAGTTAAACCAGCTCACCAGTTACAAGGGCGAACAGAATCATTCAAGAAAACAAGAATGGTCTAACCTACGCCAACATAAAACATTTGATCCGGCTCGAAGGACCAAATGTTTTATGTTGGCGTAGGTTAGACCATTCAAGAAAACAAGACTGGTCTAACCTACGCCAACATAAAACATACGCTAGTTTTAATATGTTTATAAGTTTCTGATTCATTTAACAATTAGTTCTCTCCAAAACATATACTATCGATTTATATACTGTGGTACTGCTAAATGAAATAAAGTCGATAGAAACGTATATCATATCCTGCATACAATTTTGGACATGAGAAAGCTGTCGGCGCGATGGGTGTCGCGTTTGCTCCCTCCGGACAACAAGTGCATCTGTAAGACTACTTCAGAGCAGTGTTTGACGCTAACAGTCGAAACAATGGGTGGCACCTGGCTAACGTGCTCCAAGAAGGCAAAGACTCTCCTATCGGCCAGAAAGGTGATGGCCACCATTTTCTAGGATTCACAAGGGGTGATCTACATCGACTACCTGAAGAAGAGCAAAATGGTCACAGGGTACGCAGAATTATTGACCCGATAACCGAGCCGGGTTACAAACTGTTGCCCCATCCACCGTATTTTTCAGATTTGACCCCGTGCGACTGCTTTTTGTTTACAAATTTGAAAAACGCATTCGATGGCAGAAATGTAAGTCGAATGAGAAGATCATTGCTGCCACGGGAGCTACTACTAAAAAAACGTAAGTGTATCGAGTTAAAATGAGACTTTGCTAAAAATAAATCGCCACTTTTCCAAAATTTTCGTTTTTCTTTTGTAGGCCGCAAAAGTACTGATCGGACCGCCTTGTATTGTGTAATTTGTGGATTCCTGAGAACATTCTAAACCTATTTTATGCACAATATCCTTTACTTATTTTTAACTGTTTTAAAAATATTAAGCGTTTCCGATTCATCGAAAAAGTAACATTAAAAAATAGAAAATTATCTCAGTACCAAAATTTGCTACAACACACTGAAAAACTAATAAAGGGTATTGTTTATTTATTTATAAAGTAAAAAAACAAAACAAAATTACATTAGTGTGACTGTAAAAGATGTTCAAAATGCTCGTCGTGGATGTCTTCCTTCTTCTTCAAGTGCCATCTTTGCGGCGGAGGTCGGCAATCATCATAGCTATTCGGACTTTTGAGACAGCTGCTCTGAAAAGTTCATTCTATTTCTTTATTCATCCTTCTCAGAACCTCTTTGTTTGTGACGTGTTCTGTCCACGATATTTTCAGAATTCTTCTGTACACCCACAGTTCGAATGATTCCAGTTTTTTCATTGTTGTCGCATTCAAGGTCCAAGATTCCATTCCATAAAATAAAGAAAAAAGTTAGTTAGTTCCAATTTTAAATCTCTTGTACATATCACTCTAGCCTTTTCTATTCTCCTGATTTTGATATCTCTTGAAATGATGATGATGAAAAGATGAAATCTCTTGTACATAGCACTCTAGTCTTTTCTATTCTCCTGATATTGATCTCCTGGATGTAATCATTTATGGAGTTAATCATTGTTCCCAGATATGCATATTTGTCCACTTGTTCAACGTTGATTTCATTTATTAGAAGATTCTCGTTATCTACATATGATATCTATTACGATACATCATAATCTTAAATAGAAATTTCTTTGAACGTTATTCAGCATCTTAGGCGTGACCGATCTAATCTCTAATCAAGTTTCGTCCTAAGTCGCGGATTTAGTTTTGTGTACAATATTTTGACATATCCTCATAAGAAGTCTAATGGCTCCAGATCAGGACATCGTGCTGGCCATTCCATCGATGGTCGCCTTTCTATCCGCGGATTTGGAAATAGAATAGAATAGAATAGAAATATGCTTTATTGTCACTGAAAATTATTGAACAATTTTATGGACAAAGCTAAAAAATAAATCAGTCAAATAATACAAAAAGTATAAAACAAAAACAATATAGTAAAAACAGAATAACACAATTTTAAATTAGTAAAATTATTGTATAACCTACATAATTTGTACAGACAACAACAAATGAGACAAATTGTAGCCACTGCTTGAGACACCCAAATGTAATTATAAACAATACTAATTTTGTTTCTTTGTTATACATTAAGAAACTCGTCAACTGAATAATATGGTCTTTCTGAGAGATAGATTTTTGTCATCTTACGAAACTTAATGAAGGATGTTGCGGATTTAATTTCTCTTGGAAGGTGATTATAAAACTCTTTGTCGTGTAATACGAAATATATTCAGAAATGCCTTTAGGCAGACATTTACAACCATATTATGACTTAAATTAATAAGATATTTGTATATTGTTCTTACATCCTGTAGTTGAATACTATTTAATATAAATGCATCTTGTGTAATCTTTGTTGAATTGGAGTAGAATCTTTTGTTGACTTCTGTCAATACACTAAGCTTCAATTATTTGCACTCAAAAGCTGTTGATTTGTGCTGGCACTGAGGTTGTTTTGGTACTTTTCTGATGAAACCTCAAATAGAATGAAAACTGTTTTCAAATCTCCTGAAAAATTGGTGGATCAAAAACAAGAAATTCAAATAGAGGTTTAAGCCATACTCTTACAAGTGGTACACTTACCTGGCACGTTTCTTAACATTACATTTCGATTTTTTAGGTTGTCTTATTCTTTTTCGGCATTTAGTTGGTAACTGTGCTGGTGTTACTGTATTAACTTAAGCGAGCAACATCCATTTGAGTTCGTGCATTGTCTACGTAACCAATCACCTGTAGACTTGTTATTTTGTGCATTTATTTTAAAGGAGCTATTGTTCTGATTTGTTAACGAAATTCAAACGACTATAAAGCCAATAACTACTGTCATGTTGGGCCATATGGGCCAACATAGATGCCAACAGCATAATTTTTTTATTTTATTCCCTACTGGTCCATTTAGATCACTAAGTATTATTATTTATCCAAATTTTCGAATTGTTCTCCTTGCGTGGTCTATACTCGGTTCACAATTTGTTGATAGCTCACTACAAGTTTAATCCTAATTAGAGAACTGAAATACAGAGAGGATAGGTAATACGATATAATAGTAAAAACCAACCTGAAACTGACGATTTAAGATGTTTTCGACTAACCCACCTTGTATCTGCCGGAATACAATACAGCGGTCAAGCTTATAATCCGATTAGGAACGTATTTTGGCCGACCAGTGTCGTAGAGTATATGATTGAAACATTTATTTGAACTAAATAAATATATTTTTTAAATTGTATTTTTGTTTTAATAAAACTTATAATAAAATAAAATATTTTATTCAAAAATAAAGTTTTTTGCCATTTGTAAAAGATACATTTATTTAATTAAGGGGAAAGGCACCAAATGTGTTTTAAATGTATCCATTATTTTCGAATTCGGAGAAAACTAATAAATATTTTTGAAAAATTTAAAAGCAGAATGAAAGATTACATTATTACTGAGGGTATTATATATGTGTATACTGATGTATATTACAGAAAGTCCCTGAAAACTTCTACAATGTTTATTTTATTATGTTATGCAACAGGGGTGAAAATAAAAGAGAGAATATAGTATAATTTTTAATTGAAAATATTGCATGCAAAGGAAACTTTTTATTTATTCTAATAAATATTTTATTCTGCCTTTAAATTTTTCCAAAAAGGCTTTTTAGTTTTCTCAGGATTTGAAAAAAAAATCGATACATTTAAAACACATTGAACATTTTGACAGGCGACGTTTTGCGCCTTTCCCCTTTAATACCTTACGATTACAACTACTATCACTTACCTTATATAATTACGATTAGAAAACTATTCAAATTCAAAATAAATAAAATCCCACATTTTTTGTTGTTGGATTTATTTCGCAGTGGTAGGGTGGAAGTCTAAGGACTGTGATGTTTCTCGTTTCCGCCATTTTGTCAACTACGTATTTCTTGAACTTAGATTTGTGTTGCCGGGCAATTTTTAAAAGTTCTGCTTTTACCATTCCATCTTCGTAAGGCAGGTACTTATTCCGCAGCCAGTCAAGAATATCCTGTTTTTTCCACGCAGTCGTTGGAAGTCTTTCTACTAGTCGTGAATGATAAGGTGCATTATCTAATACTATAATTGAATTTGGTGGTATGTGTTCAATCATCTGCACAAAATACTCTTCGAAAACATCAGCTGTCATCTCCTCGTGATAGTCTTTTGTGCTTTTGGACTGAAATTCCAACAAACCATGCTTAACAAATCCTTTTTCACTGCCAATGTGAGAAATTATTAATCTACTGCCTTTACCAGAAGGTGGGGAGATACCAATAGACCAACCTTCCATAAAGGCTTGCCTGGAGCTTAATATATTTTTATCTGACCAAACTTTTTTTAGAGTATGACCTGAGTTTACCCACGATTCATCCTGGTAGAAGATTGGCCTTCCTTCAGCCCGGAATTTTCGTATGGATCTTAGATAATTTCTTCTCCAACATATTATCTCCTCCCGGTCAATCAAAAGTGATTTTCGGTCTGATTTCTCCCACCGGAAATTTAATTCTTTTA